GAGTCCATTGATTTTATATCAGCTCTTCTTTTATTCAATTCACTATTCATAGCAAACCATTCAAATAAGTTCTTGTCTTTGACTTCATTGTAACCATTGCTGAGATAAACAACAAAATTGTTATTAGGATTAGACACCCATCCCATCATATATAAGACAATACTAACATATCTTACACTTAACTAACAATACAATGCAATATTTAATACATTACAAGATTACTCACCAAATATTTTATATAAATAATTGTTTACAATAATGGATATTGAAGTACATTAATGACAATTTTTGTGGTTTGGTTTTCACGCAAAATTACATACAGAATATTGTCATTATATATGAGAAACATAAACACAGTATATATTAATTTAATCAAAATTTGCAAAACACAAAAACTATTAAAATTCAAATTGTTGATATCGCCAAATATTTTGGAATCTTATTAAAATTTTATTTTATTGTCCATACAATAGCGCTGATGGTAACTATGAGGTGACAATAATGACAAAAGCCATAATTGTAAGCATTTATATGAATTAAATGTTAATTTAATAAATGCCTAAAATGATTGACTTGTTTAACAACAGCACGACTCCGGAAAAGTGGAGTGGAATCCGCCGGCAATTTATAAGAGTTCCTGTAATATAGATATAAACTATTTCCCATTTGATCAGCAGGGTATGTCTCACTAATACCTTATTAACTCATTTTATTATCATCATTTATTATTTTAAATATTTTAATTTCTATATATTGTTTGTCCCAAACAGAATGTTTCATGAAATTCGGGAGTTGGACGTAAGTAATTATAATTATTAGGAAAATTAATTTACGGTTACTTTAAATAGTCTAGTATTACATCAAACAATATAAAGCCGGTGTTTTCAAAATTATATTTATAAATGTATTCATTTCTTTCAGATACGATGGAAATCAGGTATTTATTATGATATTAAAAATGCGTAAATGTATTAAAAATGGTATAACGAGTGGAATGAAAATGTGATGTTTAGGTGGATTTGAAACACTTGTACGATCCGATTGGAGAACCCGATAAAGAGTCTGTTGTCGACTATGGCATTGATTTATCGGAATTCTATATTAACGTTGAATGGGATATAATGACAGTCCCGGCGATGAAGAGAATCAAGTATTATAGCTGTTGTCCCGAACCTTATATTGACGTTACATTCAATGTAACGCTTCGGCGGAAGACATTGTTTTATACGGTATTTAATTGATAGCACATTACTAGTAAAATTCAATTTGGATCTAAATTAGATATAAAAATCAGGTAAATCTCATCATTCCTTGTGTCGGTATTTCCTGTCTATCAGTTCTGGTGTTTTATTTGCCATCAGATTCTGGCGAAAAGGTTTGTTAAAGCAATTATTGCTTAATTAATAGGAGAGTCCAATACATTCAATGTAACTCAAACTCGTGTTATTTATTTCCTGTCTATCAGTTCTGGTGTTTTATTTGCCATCAGATTCTGGCGAAAAGGTTTGTTAAAGCAATTATTGCTTAATTAATAGGAGAGTCCAATACATTCAATGTAACTCAAACTCGTGTTATTCTAACTTTAGGTCACTTTATCGGTCTCTATAATGCTTTCCCTCACTTTCTTCTTCCTTGTCTTAATTGAAATCATTCCCTCGACTTCTTTAACAATGCCTTTATTAGGCAAATACTTGGTTTTTACAATGGTTTTGGTCACGTGTTCAGGTATTTTATAATTACATTATTAGTTAAACAACTGTATAACCATGTTATATTTATGTAATTTATTATTTATTATACAGTAATCGTAACGATACTTGTATTAAATATCCACTTCCGGTCTCCATCGACGCACAGAATGGTAAAAATGAGTGAATATTAATAGTGTTATAAAATGAAGTGATTGTGTTATGACAGGCGCCGTGGGTTCGGAGGACTTTCATAAGAATCCTCCCGAAGTTGCTTTTGATGAGACCTCCGCAATACAAACTCGAAAACATCGATTCGGACACTAAGCCAACCAATGGAAAGGCGGCCACAGATATGGCTAATCTGTTAAACCAGATTCCCTGCTCTAACT